TGGTCCCCAGAACTCACCCACCCCTCCTCCAGCAGCCCCCCACTCACCTGTCCTTCCTCTAGCAGCCCCCCTACTCACCCACCTTTCCTCTGATGGTCCCCGGGACTCACCCACCCCCTCCTCCAGCAGTCCCCCACGCACCCCCCTTCTCCAGCAGTCCCCCCACTCACCTGCCCTTCCTCTGATGGTCCCCGGGACTCACCCACCCCTCCTCCGGCAGGCCCCCCACACCCTGACTCACCCACCCCTCCTCCCGCAGCTCCTGAGCCTCATCTGCTCCTGGGCTCAGCCCACTTCATGGGGGCCTCCGTTTTCACTGCACCCTTCCCTGCCCCACTCTGCCTCCCATCCTCCTCTGTACATATATCCCCATCGGACACACAGGGTGGAAGGGTGGCTTACTGATTCCTCTCTTGGAGTCTGTTTCCCTGCATGAGAATATCAGCACAGTGAGAACAGAGAATTTCATCCAGCTTCACCAGTGCTGAATGCCCCAGAATTTACACACAGGAAATGTTTGCTGCATTAATGTCAGGAGGCAGGGTACCATGTAAAACATCTTAGAAGGGGATCCGCCCCAAGTGGTCAGTGAAAAGACTGGTCTCCAGAACAGCCACAGCCCTTTCCCAGTCCTGGCCCCAGGACGGTCCCTTATACACAGCCACCTTGTCGCTCCCGGTGAGGGCTTTTCCATCTTTCCTAGATGAGTAGCTGAGTTTCAGAGAGGTGGAGGGCCTTGCCCAAGGTTCCACAGCTGCATACAAGGCCCCGCCCTCCAGGCCTCTTCTCTGCCCTCCACATGTTAGGCTCATTACTTTCCCCCAAGGAGGGGTAGGGGCAGCCAGATGCAGGGGAAACTGAGGAAACTGGAGCCCAGCATGGGTATGAGGAGGCCCAGGGGGCCAAGCACTGGGGTTGGGGTGGGGGAGGCCAGCCCCGTGCGCTGAGGGAGGGTGGGGCTGGCCTGGGTCAGAGGCAGAGCTGGGACAGGAACCAGGCCTCTGTTCCTGGCATGGCCTCAGCACCTGGCAGGCCCCCGCAGAGGGGCTCATTCTCCTCTTCATGCTGTCAGAAATCGGCTGGATTTAGGGGGCAGTGGGCAGCCATGCAATGGGGCCAGATGGTCCAGGAGAGGATTTAGGCCCTTGGTCATCGGGGTCGCAGCAAGACTGACCCACATCTGCAGAGGGGTTTCCCAGGGCAGAGCTCTCAAAGATACTGCATTGGGTACCAAGGGGACTCTGTGCTCTCTGGCACAGGGGCAGGCTTGAAGAAGGGACAAAGATGGTGTGTGAACGATAAGGACCTTTCGGGGAGAGCAGGAGGGATGCTCAGGGCTGGGGAGCAGGTGCCTCCGGCTGGGGGTTAAGGTGCACCGCATTCCTTCAGACCAGCGCACGGCCTGCAAGCCAGGCCCTGAACACAGGCAGATGCAGCGGCAGAAGGGAGGAGCCCAGGGCGCCACCGGTGCTTTAGATGGGTGGTCAGGGAAGGGAGGCCCTGGCCCTCGGTCAGGGCAGAGCATTCCAGATTCAAGGAAGTAGTGCACAGGCCCGAGACAGGGATGGGCCAGCTGAGCCTGGGACCAGTAAGGCGACCGGCGTGGCCATGATGTGCCTAGTGAGGGGATCCTGCTGAGCGTGGGGGTCGGAGGGTTAGGCAGCGCTGGGTCAGCATTTACCAACCCCTCATGGAGGCCTGACAGGTGGCACGGAGTCCCCCCCCCCACCTTGTCTTGGGAGGCCCCACTGTGTGTCAGCTCTGTGCCCAGGTGCCACAGGGAGGTTGGCAAGGGCCCTGGTCCCCAATCCCCAGGGTCCTGCCTGTAAACTGCAAATGCACAGCTGATGTGACCCGCCGGCAAAGCTGCTGTGATGCTTCAGTGGAACTGATTTCTGTGACCGGGCCCAAGGCCACCCTGGGGACAGAGCAGCGAAGGAAGGGGTGGATGGGCCTATTTCCGACCCAGGCAGCCCTCCCAACACTGGTAAGGAGAGGAAGCAGGGGATGGAAGGGGGCCAGCCAGGAGCTCCGCAGGACTCAGCCCATATCCGGACCCTGCCAGCCACCGGCGGGAGTGAGGAGAGAGCTGGGGCCAGTGGCCAACAGGCAGAGCTCCTGTGAAGGCTCAGGAGATACAGGTGGCTGCTGGGCTGGACCCCCAGAAAGAGGCAGGGGACTTACTGGCAGACGGTGGGGAGAAGTGTGTTGCAGGAAGAGGCAGTGGGTGTGAGCGTGGCTGGACAGTGCCCAGAGGCAGGGAAGAACTGTGCCCTAAGGACCCCCGAGAGCACGGGGTGCAGCCTGTGCTCCCCACTGCCCTGTGGCAGGTCCCGCCCCCAGTTCACAGTGGGAACCCTGACCACCCCACAGACTCCTCATCCTCATGGCCCCAATCCACTGGCCCAAGACCCAGGCAGCACCCGTTCTCCAGCCCATTTGGCAGGCCGGCTAACCTCAGGGGACTGGAGCAGCCACTCATGCGCTGGCCTCAGTTTCCCCACCCACAGCAAGGGCCTCATGCAACATCATGTAGTCCTGTGGTCAATGAATGGCTGAGTTGAAACTTGCACTCGGGGTGCTGGTCCCTTGCAGGAGCCTCATAGGAGACTGTCCCTGAGGGCACAGCTTCCCTTCTGTGTCCTCCCTAGCCACGTACAAAGATGCCTGCGCCTCAGGCACAACCCTTGTCTTGGTCCCCCTCCCCCACCCTGCCAGGTGCTAGGCTGGCCCAGGAACGCAGAGCTGAGACACAGAACCCTGTCCCATCTGATGTGGCGGTGAACTCAGTGACTCCACTGAATTCCCACTGAGGGCCGCATAGAGGACACAGCTCCAAGGTCGAGGGCAGTGGCTGCACCTAAGGCACTGGGTCAGAGGAGGATTTGAGCCACAGGAGGATCGAAGCCAGGCTTGAGGCTCTGGAATAGGCGTGAAGGGCGGGGCCTGCCTGCTCCCTGCCTGTCTCCTGCCCTGCCCAGCCCCCACCCTCCATCAGGGCAGCTCAGCAACCTCCCCCACCTTTCCCCCCAGTTCCCTTCTGGGGTGGGGGGAATTCCCAGACAGGCCTTTTAGAAGAGCTGAAACATTCAATGTAAATAATTAATGCTAGATTTTTTTAATTAAATTTTAATACATTCTTATTAATTTTAGACAAACTCCCTAGCAGGGCATTCACAGTGAGTGATTGAGGGAACCGAAGACAGCCTTTGGGTGGGCAAGGCTCCTGAGCAGTGGGGTCGAGGTGCAGCTGGCCGCTTCAGCTGCGGGACCTCCAGCAAGCCTCTTCTCTCCAAGCTTTGCTCCCGCATCCGTAAAATGGGGGGTACGGGGCTTCCACGGTAGAGCTGTGGCGAGGGGCAGTGGAATGCGCGCTGTGGTGTCTAAGGGGCGGTGGACGTGATTGTTATGATGATTGTGGCCATTCTGCTGAGGGTGGCCTCCTGGGACCTGAGGTGGGGGTGGGGGGTCTTCATCATTAGCCGCGGAGAGCAGGGCTCGCCTCCTCTGCTGTCCCCTCTCTGCTGGAGAACTTAGCCCAGAGCTAGTGAATGAGTGGGTGTCGTCGGTGGAGGAACACTTGGATTTCTTGGGTTTGGTTTGATCCTGGTTCAGGTCTGACCCTCTGAGTGGACGGCTCCTCCCACCCTGCGCTGGCTCAGTGGAGGCCAAGCCTGCTGGGTGCTTGGGGGTGTCCTGGTGAAAACACAGGGCTCCTGCCCGGGAGCTCGCAGCCAGGAGGGGAAAGGGCCGGGAGAGACAGGCTCCTGTGCCGTAGGATCCAGGCATGCACTGTCCGTGTTTATTGAGCGCCTGCTGTATGCTGGGACCTAGCATGAGGAGGAGCGCTGTCATGGGGACCCGGAAAGGTGGGCCTGGGGAAGAGAGGCGTGTGGGGGTCGCGCTGGCCGCCGGCAAAGTCTTCCCCGCAAACTCCCTGTCTTGCAGGAGGAGGGTTTATGGAGGGGGTCCAGGCTCGTGGTCTTGGACAACTTTTAGAGCGTCTGGGGAGGGCAGCCGCCATCCGGGCCCCTTGGGGTTCTCTTCCCCTGAAATTCCTTCTCCCATCCCAGCCCCTCCGCAGCCCGCGGGTGCCGAAGGGCAGCGGAGCGCCTCGTCAAGCTACTTCCCCTTCCCCCCAGCTTTCAGGTGAGGAAACTGAGGCCGGGAGAGCGCCGGAAGGCCGGCCTGAGCACCCGGGAAGTTGGTGGCCGAGCCTGGCCGAGGCCCCCGGGCTGGGCCTTCTAGCCTGGCGCGGCGGCCGGGCTGCGCCCTCGCCCGGCGGGGCGGTGGGGGAGGCGGCGTGGGGCCCGGACCCGAGCGGAGCGCGCTCCCGGCGGACGCGGCGGCGGCGCCCGGCGCGAGGGGCCGGGATGGGCAGTCATCAGTCTTCCCAGGTCTGTCGCATGGTCCCTGGGCTTGGACCCCCGTCCCCCTTGAGAGCCAGTCGCGGCACAGAGAGACGGGGAAAGCACGGGGGAGCTGCCTCTCCCGGGTGGTGGAGAGCCCGCCCCGCGCCCCTCGCTCCACGCAGGAAGTGCGATCCCGCCCGGGCCGCTCGCGGTCCCCGTCGCTTGCCCGCGCCCACAAGGTTAACGGCAGCGAGTGGGTCCCCCCGCCCGGCGCGCGGAGGGGCTGCCTGGCCGCGCGGGGCTGGGCCGGGAGGGTCTCAAGCCGCGCGCGGGTGGGTCTGCGCAAGCCCGACTGGGAGCCCCGCGGGCTAGCCGGGCGCTCGCGGGTTAATCCCTCGGGCCCGGGAGGGGCGAGCCAGGCCCAGAACCCCAGAATCTGAGGGCAGCGGGTCCCTGGTTGAGGAGTTGAGGCTCTAAATGCCATCGCCTTCGGATCGTGTGTCAGGTTCTACAATCCTGCGCGGCCGCGAATTCCCCAACATTTTCGGACTCTGGAGATCCTGCGATTCTGGGGCTCGGCTTCCTCCGAGAGGGAACGCGGGGCAGGAAGGGTTAACGGGCGGGGCGGGGCGGGGGGAGAGCGGGGCCGGGGCCGCGGCCGCCGGGGAGTTCGCGGGGACAGGCCGAGTCCCCCTCCTCCCGGAGAGGCTGAGACCGTCCCTGGCCCGGCCGTCCCGGGCCGGCCCCGTATTCGCCCCGGGGGGCGTAACTCGGTGCTGGGAGCGCGGTGGCCCGGGCGGCCGGGCTCACCTGTTACTCGGCCCCGGCCCAGAGCGCCCACTGAGTCACGGGGGCCGTGGAGGGGACTGGGCGCTGGGGGACGCGCGGGGCCGGGGTTCCCACGGACGGGGCCCGGCGGGCTTGCCCCGCCGCGGCGCCCGGCCGTGCCCGCTGTGCCCGGCTCTGCCAAGCGCGGCCGCGGAGCGCACGCCTCCTGCCTGCTGACCCTCTCGTTTGGTTTCTCGCAGGCCTCTGCCGCAGACATGGAGAAACTCAGGTGAGTGGAGCGTCTCCCGTGCGGCGGCTCACGGGGGGCCGGGTCGGGGTTGAGGGCGCTGGGGGGAGTAGAGGGGAGGCGGGGGGAGGGGCGCCACCCGAGCGCAGCCCCCCAGGGCCCGCGGGCGGCCTCGGCGGGGCTGCGGGCCGGGTGCGTGTGTGGTGCGTGTGTGCGCGCCGCGAGGCGATGGGAAGCCCCGCGCGGGGGCTCCTCGGCTGACCCGGGCCGCTGCGGCGGGAGCCGGGGCGCGTGTCACTCAGGGCCGGGCGGCCCCCGACCCCGGGCCGCCGGGTCCTGCCAGGTCCTGGGCGCCCCGGTGCGACCTGCCGGGGAGCCTCGCTGGTCCCCGGGGACCCTCCGGGTTAGGTTCCGTTCGTGCAGTTCCGCACCGCCCCCGACGCTGGCTCGCCCCCCACCCCCCCTTTCCCCGGGCTGCCAGTTGCCTGGATCTGAGCTTTTAAGTGTTCGCCTCTTGGGGGCGGGGGTGGGGGATGGAGTCCTCGCGGCTGGACCAGGCAGCCGCGTCTTGGAGCCATTTTAGGGGAATCCCGCGACCGCGTCTGGGGAGTGTTCCCCGCGGCCTCCCTCCCGGTGCTAAACTTTAAGCCTCGGTAGACTTAACGGGGCCACCTGCGCGGCAGGCCTGGGATCAGCCCGTTGGAATATTGACCACTTCCTTCGCGACTTCCCCTGGCACCCTGACCCCTACTTTGGGAACAGCCCTCCCGTGTTTTCCTTCCGGAGCCTGAGCCGAGGCGTTGCGTGGGCGGCAGGCCCAGCTCTGGCTGCTGGGTTTCAGCTCTGTCTCCCCTGGCCTAGAGGGTCGTTGTCCTCCCCTCTCCCTCCTGAGGCCAGAATTGGCATCCTGGGGAGGAGGCTGGGTAGAAAAGCACCCCTCCCCCACGGAGCAGAGCCCCAGCAGGCCCAGGCTGGGCCGAGGTCTAGGGCAGAGGGGCCCTGGACCCTGCCAGCTGACCCTTAGTGCTGTGGGCAAGTGGCTTGGAAATACCCAGGTGGGAGCCTGGAGACAGGTGGGCTCTGAGACCCAGGCTGGATGCTCAGAGCAGGGCCATCTCCTGGGCCAGGGAGCTGGTGTGCAGCCCCCACTGTGGGTCCCGCAGCGAAAGGAACACCATGTCCTGTGCTGGGAGGAAGAGTCCAGTCTCTGAGGTGGTACCATCGCAGACCGGAAACATCCGATATCTGTCACCCAGGCCCACCTTCTTGTGGCCAAGGTCCAGGTGGTGGCAGGGAGGCCCAAAGATCGATGGCCCTGGCTGTGGTCACACTGATGACCTCAGGCCCAAACTCAGGCTCTGGCCCAGCCCAGGGCCCTCCCTGATGCCCCACATTGGCTGTTATTTCATGGCCTGGGTGGCACCGCCTGTGGGGGAGGGAACACTCAGCTGACTTAAGGAAAAACGTAGCATTCGTGGGGTGCTCTGAGTCCAGTCTGGGGTTTCCCCATGGTGGTTCCGTTTCTGTCCCTCCTTCCCTGTGCCCAGCCAAGGCTCTCCAACACTGAGGACAGGCATGACCTCCCCCCCGCCAGCTGTGCACAGGTAGACGGGGCGCCAGGTGGGCGGATCTGCTGCCTGAGCTGCTGATGGCATCAGCACTGCTGTCCCAGGTGGGCTGAGGCTTCCCTGGGTGAAGCCATAAACACGGAGGTGGTGGCCAGGGGCTGCGCTCCTGGGCTGCACTGGACCATGAGGCCTTTCTGGAGTTGCCAGGGGTGGTGTCAGGCAAGGACTCGGCATGGCCTCCTAGAACTGGGGAGAGGTCCTGCCCTCCTCTCCCTCTAACCCAAGTAATGTTCTCAGAGTTGCCTCAAGGGGTTTTCCAGAACCTTCCCTCCTGGCCAGTGTCTGGGCTGCCCCAGTGGATTTCTGTCCTGCATTTAGTGCCAGAGATGGGAACCAAAAGCCCAGGGGCATGTAAGGGAAGTTGGTCAGCATGGCTTCCTGCAGGGAAAGGCATGGGATTTGGGGTCCCACAGACCCAGTCACTGGCAAAGTCCTGGCTCTGGCTGGGCCTCAGTTTTCTCATCTGTAAAGTGGGTGTCCTAACCACAACTAGGTTGCAGGGATGTCGGGTGCCATGAGCCCCTGTGGTGGAAGCGCCTCTCCTGGGATCTGGCCCAGAGCAGTCCCAGGTAGAGGGTCTCTGGGGGACATGAGACCACACAGTGGTCATAGTGAAGGGGTCCTGGGGTGTCCAGAGGGATGACCCTGTAGCTGGTCCTGCCTCCTGGCCCTTAGATGTGGGGTCTGCATATCACAGGCCGGGCCTGTGGGTCTGGATTAAGCTCTGAGGGCGGTGGTCCTGGCCCCCTCCTCTCCCGGACCCCCCAGGACCTGGAGCCAGTACAGGAGAGTCCTGTAAATATTTGCGGAAGAGTAAAAGGACAGTGTCACCTGGTGGCACCGTGGTCCTCAGTGGCTCCCTTTGGTGGGCAGGTGTACACTGAGGGGTTTCCCTTCCCTGGCCGTCCAGCTGACTGCCCCCCATGCTGTCGCCCTGTTTCAAGTCCCCCACAAGCTGCCACCTTCCTGCCTCTGCCTTTGCCCACGCAGCCCCCGCTGTAGAGAATGCCCTTCCCTGCCTTCTTGTCCACGTGCCAAACCCTGTCTCTTCCCTGTAGCCTTTTCCCTGTGATTTTCATGACGCTCTTGCCCCTCCCTCCCAAGTGGGCTCCGGGCCCGTCCGGGTACCGGCTCCACAAAAGACTCAGGCTGGTCCTCCAGTGCCAGAGACACAGGCTGATGACAAATCCTCCTCAGCCAGCAGATAGAATATAGTAGAGGTTTGCCTGGAATGTGCTGGGGTCTCAGGTTTTGAACCCTGGCTTGGGGTATTGGGAAGAGCTTCCCGGAAGCAGGGACACTTGAGCCGAGGCATGAAGGATGAATATGAGTTTCCAAGGACAGACAGGCCACCTTCCAAGAGGCACAAAGGCCTGGCTGGGGGCTGCCCAGAGCAGATGTGCTCAGGGAGACGGGTGAGGGGTGGGGAATGGAGGTCCACGGGGACCTCACTGACACCTGGAGTGTCCTGTCCTCCCCAGGGCTCCAGATGGGCAACCTAGAGAGCGGAGCCTGGGTCTGGCCCCTGGCGTTCCACCAGCCCCAGTGCCTGGCAGAGGCTGGCGCACAGTAGGGCTCCCACAGGCCGGGGGTGGGGGCCACATGGGAGATATGCAGCCACAGCATTTGATGGCCTGGCCACCTTAGCTCTCGTCCCTTGACCCTTGCTCAGCCACGCTTAGCTATCCTGCCTCCGACTGCTTGAAAAACTATTCCTGTGACTCTCAAATATTTATAGATATTACCACGTCCCGGTTGGCTCTCTGTGTGCTCAGGGCCGCTGCATTGCTAATCCCTCAAATTAATTCCCTCCTCTCCCTCCGCACAGGGTCCCTCCTGCCCGCCTCCTGCCGCCTGCTGCGGGGCAGCCCCGTTTTCTGTTTGAGCTTTGGTTCCCTCCTCTGTCAAACAGGGAAGTGGGTCAGTCGCCTCTCATGGCTCCTGGGGTGCCCAGAGCTACTCCTGTTCAGTGTCCACATTTTCCCCCCGAAATAGAATTTTTCAGTCATGAACTGTGATAGGCATGCAGAGACATTAATAAACAGCCGCACAGTTCAGCGGTTAAGTTCAGAACACCCACCTGGCGACCACCACCCTGGTCAAGAAGTTCAATGCAGCCAGCCCTGAGATCCCCCGAGACCCTTCCCCAGAGCTAGCCCCATCCTGCTCTCAGTGGTCGCCGGGACACCGACATTGTGCTCAGGGGCTCCTTGCTGTCATCATGGTTCTGACACCTGAGAGGGCGTCCCCAGCAGAGATGGTTGCATTTTGCATGCTTTGGGACCTCATAGCTGGATTCCTTCAGCCTGCGCTTTGGAGTTGGCTTTTTTTTTTTTTTCACCAAAACTATTCTGTTTGTGAGGGCCCCTCGTGGCAGTAGGTGGAGCTACCAGTTGTTGTTGTCAGGACAAATAGCCTTTCTGGTGACTCCCCTGCAATCTGTTTGTTTCCTGGTGGACTGCTGGGCAGTGTGCAGCCTGAGCGACCTTAGGAACTCCTGTGCGGGCATCCGGGGATGTGGCTGCGATTCTGGGCGTGCACCCTCAGTGGGACCTCCGGGCACAGGGTGCTCGTAGGGTCAGCTCTGGAGGATCAGACCGGACTCTCGAAACCGCTTCTCCCTGCCACTGTCCCTCCAGTGTTGCTGGGGTGGGCGTAGCGCAAACCACACTGCCCTGGGTTGTCGCCCTCTGGGTTTCCTCGCTGGCAAAAGCTGTGTGCACTTTCTACCAAGGTGTCTGTGTTTTTCTAATTGATTTGCAGGAGCTCTTCACGTTGTCAGTTACACGTGTAGCAGAAACACCTCCCTCGGGATGCCGCGTCTCGCTGTTCTCACGGTCCTTTGATGAACAGAAGTTCTTAATTTTAATTTTGTTGAATGTCTCCAGTGTTTTCACTTTCTGATTAAAGCGTTTTGTGTCTTGCTTAAGGAACCCTCCTGAAATCATCAGGCTATTGGCTCTTCATCCACTTGAACTTGGTTTTGCCTGTGGTTAGAGGGCAAGGTTGAGCTCCCTTTTGTTTTTGGTTTTGGTTTTGCACAAGGACAGCCAAGTGCCGGGGCCACACTCTCTTTCACTCCTGTGACCCTGTGCATGTCGGATGCTTGTCCAGGCTAAGACGCTCTGCTGAACGCCAGGCTGACATCCCAGGGATGGAGCCACATGGAGATCAGGCGGCCTCCAAGATTCGAGTCCTGCCCTGCCCTGTCCCTCCATGCTTTGCCCTGAGGAGACACCCTCTCCCACCCGAGCCTCCCTCCTGGGCCCCACGGCCGTCCCTGCCACTCTTGTTCACCGATCACGGATTCCACACGCACTCGCTGAACCAGAGGCCACTGCAGGTGCTGAGGGCACCGCACTGACCGCACAGGCAGAATCTTCTAGTTGGCGGGAACAGGAGACTTTTTAAAAT